ATTGTCTTCATGTCTTGACCCACGTGCCAAGTGTGAATCGTATCGGTCAAGTACAAGTTTCCGAATTTTCACTCCTGCATTTTGGTCTAGACTGACGACTGACGACTGGCGACTGACGAGGAAGTGAGTTAAATAAAAGCTTGTAAAAATAAACAACAAATATATTTACACATGATTTTAGTGATTACGGTATTATCAGCACGGATACATTTCTGCAGTTAATATTTAACATTTGTTCCTACACAGTACTGTACACTAACAATATGGAGACACCAGGAAATATTGCACGCGACGCCTACGATCTACAAAGCACAACTAACTCAACAGAAGGCAGCAGCAGATGGATTCACAAGGAGACCCCATTCATGTTTTCTTTCCCTATTGCCATTGTCTTCTATGTCATCGGCAGTTTCGGCGTGTTCGGAAATTGTGTGACAGTTTTCATTGTGTGCCGGCACGGCCTCAACACGACAACCAACATCCTTCTTTGTTCTCTTTCTCTCTCAGACCTTGTTTTTTCAGTCAGCAACATCTTGGAATACTACTATGTTTGCTATAGATATACTCTGAAACTAGAATATCAAGTTGAAGACTCTGCTGCGCCTACAATTTTATTCAGCATTTATAATTTATCCTTATCAATGAGCTACCACAGTGTTGCCTTGATTTCCATAGAGAGACTCTTAGCTGTTTCTTTACCTCTGAGCGTATCTAAACTTAGTACACCAACCCGCGTTAGGTGTCTTGTCGTTTTACTTACAGTTTACGTTTTAGTCATCAACTCGTTTGACAATAAACTAACCGTGTTCTATCTGAATAAATTTATTTCTAATGATCAATCCATAATATCTATGGTCAACTCTTTCAGTATTGGAATAGTTTTTGAGTTTTTAAGGATTTCCTTTATAGCTTTGATCCCCCTTGCGACTGTGTTCCTGTGCACGTCGTTGACGATAATTAAACTTCGGCTAGCGTTCAAAAAGATAAACAACGTGTCGACTCAATTTAAAAATTCGCACAAAATAAAAAAGATGAAAGTGATTAGAATGCTGGTTACTGTGTGTGTTGTGTTTATCGTGTTGGTTTTACCTGTGACAATTTTACAAACGTTGAAACCTTTAAAATCTGAAGTGAACTATAATCTTGATTTTTTAAGTTATATTCTTTACCAAGTGGCAGGTTCCATCAATTGTATTATTTATATCAAAATGAGTTCAAATTTTTCCAAAGCATTTAATTTGTTTTACTTTTGTAGATAATCCTAGATTATCCAGTTTTATTCAAATAAAATGGCATTGTTCTTTCTAAAGTTTGTATAGTTTAACAACTTGTCTAGCTAGATATTTAAAAAAAGCTACATTCCTGTGTTGATACAATTAGGCCTATTGCAATACTACTTAGTTTAAAGTCTTCTAGGGTTAAAAATAACTTCAACAAAGTGTTGTATTGTTAAATATGCATTACCTTATTGTTGTATTTTAAAAATGTGTTTTATGGACCGTAAAATATTTTTCTTATTATCTTATTATTTGCTCAAGAATGTAATTTAATTAATTAACATAAAATCGTTTTTAAATCTATAATATAATGATAAATTGATGGGGCATTTTTTGTTCACCTGGTTTTTCTTTGGATTATCTTTAATTTTTTCTCTTATCACATTCATAAAACCAGAGGCGTAGCGAGGGGGGGGGGGGGGGGCGGGGGCGTGGACCGCACAGGAAGACACCATTTAGGAGGGGGGTGACACCAAGGGAAAAAATAGCAAAATATATAGAGAAAACTTTGAGGA